CAGAGTTCTCTGCACCCTGTATGTATCCCTTGTTTGGTGTTTGTAACGTCTTGCCCAGCTATGGTGCCAGTACATAAACTTTATTACTCCACTGGGCTTCCATAAACATGGGCTGCATTCTAATCTCAATCCACTTGTTTTGTGGTCCATGTTAAATGCCAAAGAAGTCAAATCTTGTAACTGGATTATATGGGAACTTTTATTCATTGGGAACACTTTTATTTGTATCCCGTGGATTTCGTTTTAAATATCTACAGTAAAAAATAAAAAAATAAAGAAGTTACTTTAAAGTCAATGAGTTATAATGACATCCATAAGGACATACTGCACATAAATGAGCCTATACTGTGTCACTCTAGACTCAAATCTGTCCTTCCAACTCCATGTCCAATCGCTGGCTAACTCATGCAGGCTCCACCTCCGCAACATCTCCAAACTATGTCCATTCCTAACCCCAGAAGCTACTAAACAACTCGTTCACTCCCTCATTATCTCACGACTCGACTACTGCAACTCCCTTCTCACTGGCCTACCCCATCACAGACTATCCCCGCTTTAGTCTATCATGAACTCCGCGGCCAGACTCCTCCACCTTACCAACCGCTCTGCATCTGCCACCCCTCTCTGCCAGTCCCTCCACTGGCTTCCGATTGCCCAACGCATTAAATTCAAACTACTAACATTGACGTACAAAGCCATTCATAACTCTGCCCCAAACTACCTCATCGACCTGATACCCAAATACCACCCAACCCGTACTCTTCGCTCCTCGCAAGACCTCCTACTTTCTAGCTCCCTGGTCTCCTCCTCCCACTCCCGACTGCAGGACTTCTCCAGGACTTCTTCATCCTCTGGAACTCACTACCCCAATCCATCAGACTGTCACCTATCCTCCTCACCTTTAGGCGCACCCTGAAAACCCATCTCTTCAGGGAAGCCTACCCCACCCTCACCTAACAGCTGATCTCCTCCACTCCTCCTACAACTCCATCCCCCACAGCCACTTCCTCCTGTACCACTAACCCCTCCCTCCTAGATTGTAAGCTTGAAAGAGCAGGGCCCTCGAACCTCTTGTGTATTGTTTTGTTACTGTATTGTCTCATGTTCTGTCCCCCACTATAATGTACAGCGCTGAGCAAACTTTTTGGTGCTATATAAACACTGTATAATAATAATAATAGCCGACCACTTGCTATGAGGACGATTCAAGATTGCCTGCTGGGTTCCCCAGAAGAGTAGGTTTGGGACCGCTCTGTACAAGTATGTGAAAAACTATGGCTTCTATGGAATAGGGCTTTGGGACCCAACAAGATAGGACAACCATACAGGTTATTGTACAGTGGTTATGGATGTGAAGCTGGCCAATGGAGCATAAAGCAGTAATTCTGCATGGTCCCACTCACTCATGAAATGAGGGATAATTATCTTATTATTGGGTTAAATTTAGAATGAAAGGTGTAAATACCCTCGGTTTTAAAATGGTTTTACTGTGACAGTAAAAGTGCCCTGATATAGTGACTAATTATTTTAGATATATCGTGGCATAAACCTCACCCGATCTGACAGAATAATTACAAGAGAAGCATTTTAGAATGTTTCTAGCAAAGAATAAGTCACACACAGGTGTATTAGGGCAAGGGGTATCAGTTTAGCTGTCATTGCAATATGGGACACATGTAATGTACTGCAGTGGAATGCAGATTCACCCCACTCATGGAAGAAACTAGGCCACAGATTTATGGCTGCATCACTGTGGAGATCAATGTCTGCATTGGGAGCTAGGATGCCTGTGAGACTGACTTTGAATGTTTACAGCTTCCTGCATGTATGGTACAGATTCTGCCGAATGATTCTGGAGGGTGAACCTTGGCCCTCCTTACTTCTTCCCGGTGTGAGTTTTGCACCATCTTTCTGCCAGCTAATTTGCTTCAGGGAGAACACTGAGTGCAGGGGTGCCATGTTGATCATTGACTTTTACTTTCAGACTCAGCCTAGTTGGGTATCAGTTTAAATGGTATCCAATAAGACTGAAAATAGAGACTTGAGTGATCATGTCGCCAGACAGTGCTTCATAGTTGCCCTGGGATTTGTCCAGCCCTGTGTTACTGTATGAAATGTTACCTTTTTCCCTACATGTTGACTTGGCCTTGCAGTTCTAGAAGCCATGTGAACTGATGTTTAGAAGAAACAGGAATGTGCCAGTGGCTAAATTGGATTCAAGGGGTTTCCTTCCTTTGCAGGTTAAAAAAAAAAAAAAAAAAAAAAAATGCTCTGACAAATTTCCTATGCTCTAGAATGGTTTTTACGTATCTGTATTTTACTGTACTGGGTTTTTTTTTAAATTAAGCAATATAGCTTTTACTTGTTGCTTTTACAGAACGTACTTGGTTCTATTTTCATCAGCCTTAGACATTAACTCTGGCATTCATTTACGTTTGTAGAATGTGATGGAGAGACTAAGCACTGATAATGACTGTCTGGTTTGAGTATTCTATTCTGACATGCAATGTATCCTTAAGACAGACATCTGGTCTAGTGCAGTTGGCCGTTTTCCAGTCAAGTATCTCTTGTGAGAACTGAAACCAATCAGCCTGTTCTGTGTGCTGCAGGAGAATCTGAAACTGCTTTCAGAATGGTTCTTAAAATGAGATCTTTTCATCCTATTTACATTTTCCTTTTATTGCTGTGGCTAGGTTACTTTCTTGTGTAAAGCCAGCCATATGTGGAATGAAATTCGGCTGGTTCAGCTTGGTGTATGGCCTGTCTAAATTTTTACAGATGTATAAAGGTTTGTGTATGCAGAACTGTAACCAAGAATGCAAACCATTTCTCCAATTTGCAATTTTTGAAAACTTCTTTTTGGACTAGAATATGTATCTGTGACGGACCTCCTTTTGGTTCTTCCTCGATACACCTCCAGCTGTCAGTGCATGAAAAGTAATATGTCAGCTGGACCTCATCATGACACATTCTCCTCTGATTCTGTTCATTATGGGAAGATAATAGTGATTTCAGGCAGTTATACTAGCTTATTATCAAACTCATGTAATAATTGATGAATACACAACTGGATTAAAGGGTGTGTTTTTTTTTTTTTTTTATGTATTTACCTTTTAAAGAGGAGTTCTGCTTTAAAGATGTCAGAATTCTGTTTTTATTCCCTTTTAGTTACACAAAAAAAGAAATGTATTCCAAAAGATGTATCTTTTTGGTTCATGCTGCTACCACTTGTTATTCTTGCTTGTGTGTATGATTCCTGTGAAGTAGTAAATCATTTTTTCTATACATCATACCGTACACCCTTGATGGGTGTGGTGGCTAGCTCAAGAATGCATTGATGTATACTGACATTACTGTCCACGTTTGATGGGATTAATTTAGATACTTATGAACATTACCAGAGACCACATCAGCAGAACCTGTTTTGACTGTTAACTGTGGAGTTCATTTGAAAGGAATTGTGTCCTAAATTTAAAAACTTGTCTTAGAAACCTGGAATTGGAACAGCCATTCATTGACAAGTTGCACACTAGTTTCTGCACAGTGATTTTGAGGTGCACTTGCCCTCCAGAGGATTTACCTCCCTTCCTGACCAGGTCATTTTTTGCAATACGGCGTTGCGTTACTTTAACTGACAATTGCACGGTCATGCAACGATGCACCCAAATTACATTTTGTCCTTTCTTCTCACAAATGGAGCTTTCTTTCAGTGGTATTTGATCGCCTCAGTATTTTTTGGTTTATAGAAAAACCACAGACAATTTTGAAAAAAACCCCAATATTTTTTACTTTTTGCTGTAAAACATATCGCGTAAAGAAATTAAAAAAAATCTAATTTAGGCCAAAATGTATTCTGCTACAAGTCTTTGTAAAAAAAAAAAATCCCAATACGTGTAAATTAATTGGTTTGTGTGAAAGTTATAGTGATACAAATGGCAGAATATATACTGGAATTTTTTTTTTTTTATACTGGCAATGGCGGTGATCAGCGACTTATAGTGGGACTGCGGCAGGCATTCTGATACTGGGGGGAACTGAATAACTGTTACTGACCTCCCCAGTGGCACTAATAGAGTGATCAGTGTTAATAAAAAGCACTGACACTGTACTAATGACAGGCAGGCAGGAGTTAACATCAGGGGCAATCAAAGTGTTAACTGTATGCTGTTTTACTATGTGTGCTGTGTTTGTTTTACTAAGTAAGCATGCTACTTTGTGTTACTCTGCTATGCAGAGCAATACAAAGCAAAATGCTTGTGCTGACAGAGGGGAGATCTGTGTTGATTAGATACCAACCTCTCCCCTGTCAGTGTTCCTCGGCGATTGCCGGGTGCTAGCGGGGAATCTCTGGCCGGACCCGATGATTGACAGCTGTAGCTGCCAATGGCGGTGCGCGCCCCCTACTCAGAAATGCAAAATCATATATATAAAGTGATTTTGCACAGCAGTATTTCTGCTAAAGGGTGGTCGGGAAACGGTTAATGCAGCTTAGATTTGGTTTAAAGCCTGTAGCGTGTCTGTTATTATTGAATTGTAGAATTGTTTCTGAGATGGGTGTCTAGCTTCCACTGAACCAACAGCATCTTTGTGGTCTGAAGTAGCACTGTGCCTATTATAAAACATGTTGACTAGACCTTCTGTAATTTTACAGAAATTCAGCACGATCATTTTTTATAAGACACTTAGCGGTATGGTTTCAGAATAAAGTTTGTTAGGTTTTTAGGCAGAAATGGTAAAATTTAGTTTATTTTTGTACACTGTCTATATCCCCATCAGGGAAATTTTCAATTGCTTAAAATGCACGAAGGTAAAAAAGCTTCTGTCTTCACAACCACTTTAAAAAAAAAAATGTGCTTTGTTGACAAGTGTTGCACCATCCTTGTCATTAAGCAGTTGCCTGAGTTTGAAAAATTCCACATGCTGTGCATTATATATACTTTTTCATGATTAATACTTATACTGTGTATCCTTCTTCTTTTTGTTTTCTTTTTTTTGTGCAGGGCTTCTTATCATTTATGTGTGCTCCTCTCATTGGAGCTTTATCTGATGTTTATGGTAGAAAGTCTTTCCTCCTCGTAACAGTTTTCTTTACGTGTGTCCCTATCCCATTAATGAGGATAAGCCCATGGTAAGTAGTTGGATTTATGAGCATAAACAAACATGTTTTCACTATTGTAGTTAATAAGATAAAGATTACTACATGTCTAATGAAGTCTGTTAATGCTTTTTTAAAGCTACGCAACTAGCTACTACTAATTAACCTATTTAAAAACTTCAGTATCAGCTTTTATCAGAACTCAACGTGTTGTTTACTTCATTGTCATTTTAGAAGTCATCCATAGAAGGGAGGCTGCAGTGTGGAGCCTACAATATCCTACATGTCACAAGGAGAGCTTGGTCACCTAACTTTGACAGGCTATATGGCCTAGCTCTTCTTCTTGGTGCTTGTTTCTTCCTATTCCCCCCCCCCCCTCTTGGAGGATAGTGTTTTCCGCACTGGATGCCATGGTCTCTTCCACCAGTTGCTGTGTAAAAATATTGTATCTTCTTAAACGTTTTATTCCATTTTCAATGGAAACAGACATTCAAAAATCCACTGCACATGCCTCAAGTAAAACAAAATAATTTAAGTCAAAATTAAAATTGTATTGTGGGTTGAGGTGCATGGCATCCAAGGTTTAAATTGTAGCTGATTTTATTGAAGCTAAATGTAAAAAATTAGGATTGTAGAGCAAAAATAAGTGTAAATTAGTGCAAAAACATGGAATTCATTCCTTTGCTGTCAGTGATCTAAGCAGTATACTCTTTCTTGGTTGCAGGTGGTACTTTGCTATGATATCAGTTTCTGGAGCTTTCTCTGTCACATTTTCTGTGATTTTTGCCTATGTTGCGGATATAACACAGGAACATGAGAGAAGTACGGCGTATGGTCTGGTAAGCAAAATAAAAGCTTTTTTTTAGACAAATATACTATTGTGCATGTGCTAATATTAGATAGAAGCTATAGAAATTAAAAATGTAATAATCAGATTCTCAAAAAAAAAAAAAGTGATTTTTTCATTTCAGTTATTGAGGAAAACATTTTTTGTTTGGAAAGGGGTCAACAAAGAGCCACACTGTAGCCTCTGTGTCAAGGGTCAGTGGGAGTAAAAATTACTCAACGTCAATAGGGGTAATAAAGCCACCTTGCATTGATGTCAGTGGGAGTAGTGAAAGCCTCTACAGCATTGATGACACTCTGAGTAACAAAAGCCCTCTCTCCTCAGCACTGGTGTCAGTCGGAGTAATAAGAGCCCATTCACACTTCTGCAACTTGTCATGTGACTTTGGGGTCAAACGTTGTATGACAAGTCGCACCCCATGTTTCCCAAGGAATACTATTCATATCTGTGTGACTTTAAGTCATTCCTGCAATACTTTGGTTCGACTTTCATGTGACTGGAAGGCCATAGACATCAATGTAAACCCTCCAAAGATGCATAAAAGTTGCACCTGAATGTTCCATGTTGCGTGCAACTTTGTACAGTGCAAATAGTCAAAGCCAAAGTCTCATCAAAATTGCACGATTTTGAAGTCGCACGTGTGAATGGAGCCTAGAAGACCTACCCCTCTCCAGAATTGGTGTCCTACTCACTGTAATGTCATGGCTGTGAATGTTCAGGAAAGACAGAATTTAATACAAAAAAGAAAAAAAGTGGTGCACCAAAATGAAAATTCTGGTGCCGAAACCAAAAAAATTATTAAAAGAAAAAAACACAACACAATATATACTCCAATTTTTTTTGTAAAATATGAAAGATGATGCTATGCCGAGTAAATAGATACCCAACATGTCATGCTTTACAATTGCGCACGCTCGTGGAATGAAGCCAAACTACGATACTTAAAAATCTCCATGGATGACACTTTAAAAATTTCTACAGGTTGCCAATTTAAAGTTACAGAGGAGGTCTAGTGCTAGAATTATTGCTCTTGCTCTGACATTCGTGGCAATACCTCAAATGTGTGGTTTGAACACTGTTTACATGTGTGGGCGTGCCCTTAGTGTGTTCACCACTATATGCGAGCATGGGGGGACGGGGGCACTTTTAAACTTTTTTTTTTTTTTTTTTTTTTTTTATCACTTTTATTCCTATCACAAGGAATGCAAACATCCCTTGTGATATAAATAGGCAGTGATAGGTCGTTGTTTATGGAGAGATATGGGGTAAATAAGACCTCACATCTCTCCTCTACAATGTAAAGCAGTAGATAAAAACAATGATCTAGTGCTTTAAAAAAAAAAAAAAAAAAACACGGAAGTTGCCGGGATCGTTGGATGGGTTCTCAGGTAAGGCTGAGAACCACTGGGGGGGCAGGGCTATTTTGGAGTACCATTTAAAACTAATATTTAAAGCAGAACTTCACCCAAAAGGGGAAGTTCCGCTTCTTGCCGCCTCCCCCTCATCTGCTGCTTTTGGCACATAAGTTTTTGTTTTGGTGAGTGGGTACCTGGTTTTGGCATGTATGCACTCCCCCTTTTGCTCAGATTGCCCCCTCCTTCCCCTCTTGTTGCTTTCTGGGACACATCACAGGTCTCGGAAGACTACAAGACCATTCACAAAGCACAGCGCGGATTGCCACAAGGAGTCACAACTGGCTTTCCACACTAAAGATGCTAGTGCCGGACACCTGAAGGCTAGTGAAGAATTTGCCCAAGTGAGGACGGCTCTGGATCCCTGGACAGGTAAGTGTCCTTTTATTAAAAGTCAGCAGCTGCAATATTGTAGCTGCTGACTTTTTACATTTTTTTTCACACTGAAGAACCTCTTTATAGTATTTTTTACATTGGACGTGCTTTGTTTGGTTTGCATGATCTACTGTTGTACCGGTTGCTGTTCAGGTTAATTTAAACAAAACACAAAGTGAGCAACATTAGTTAAATTAACGTGTGTTTTCCTACCAAAGGTGTCCGCTACGTTTGCAGCAAGTCTGGTGACCAGCCCAGCAATTGGAGCTTACATATCTACGTTCTATGGTGATAATTTAGTAGTTCTCCTTGCCACTGTGGTGGCACTGCTGGACATCTGCTTTATTTTGTTGGTCGTACCAGAATCTCTACGTGACAAAATGAGACCTAACTTCTGGGGCGCACCAATTTCCTGGGAACAGGCTGACCCTTTTGCTGTAAGATTATGCTTTGTTTTCGTAAGCTTTGTAAGAAATCATGTGATAGAAGTTATGAATGTCAGAAGTAGACTGAGATTCTTTTAATACGTTTGAAAAGTTTGGAAGGGATATATATTAGGAGACAAACAGTGTTTGTTCTTCCCAATGTTCTAATGTACAGCAATTTCTTTACCTTTTAGTGCTTTCCAAAGCAAAGGGGAAAACTTTATCTTTTTAGCAGACCCAGAAGCACATGGGTCCAGTGCAAACATGCAGCAAAATTGATTTCTCATGCTAAAAACTGCTTTTTGCTGCAGTGATTGTTATTATGGATGCATATATAACACTGTTTGCAGAGCACATTACAATAAAAAGGGAGATTGTTCAGTTATAGTACCATTCAAGATGAGAGGGTGAGGAGGGCTCTGCTTGTGAGGTCTTATGGTATGATAGAGGGGGCAAATGGCACCAATGGTAGAAACTGCGTGGGGATGAGTTGATGTAGAAAGTAAAGTTGAGCTGGGCAGAGGCGCGATTGGCTTCCCTGAAGAGATGAGTTTTCAGGGATCACCTAAAGGTGGACAGAGTAGGAGGTCAGGTTTAGTGTATATTGTTTACATACCACTTTAAGAATACTTTAAAGCCAGCCATAAATGGATCGAAATTAGGCCGGTTCAGCAGGGACCGGCAGCATTCCAATCCATATATGTGCACGGAGGGTGTACAGTAGTCGGTCTACCAGTTGACTTCTGTACAGTTGTACTGTCTGATTTTTTTTTTCCTACTCAATTAGCACTGCAGGCTATAGCTGACAGCTCTGATCAGTGTATTCCGTTTACAGGTAAGTCTTGTATCAGAATACAATAGCTCAGCAGGGAGGATTCCCTCATTCATCTTGAATGTATAGATGGAAGAATTAGGTCTTTTTTTTTTTCATGCAAAATGCTGGTTGAAAGAAAAAAGCAGATTCCTCCATTGGCTGTCTAAGGCTCAATTCACAAGGACATTTTTCTCAGTGGATGTTATTTTGTTAACACCGCTTACATTAATTTGTCTCTAAAGGCTCAGTTCACAAAGGTGGCTTATACATTTTATTTTGCCTGCTCTGTAAACAGTGTTGTTTACTATTGATGCTTTTAAAACACTGTCATTGTCCTTTCGAACAGCTGGTGTGGTGAAATAAATGAAAAAGTTAATTCATAAGGATTGCTGCATTGGTTATTGCTGTGTAAAATAGTATTTGTTTCTGTCCAGTAATAACTGGAAGTGTCATTCAGATTTCTATAGAGCAGGCAGTGGAGCTGTTAGAAGTAGTGATAAAATAGCATTTTGTGAGAAAATAAAATAATTTATGAGAAAACTAGCAAAAGGGTGCCTTTACTAGAATGGGTATATTTGTGGATAATTGTATGATTATAAATGTGATAATTGTAAGCAAGAAACCAAAACCATATTTACAATTTTTTTAAGGGATGAATGGAAATTGGCTATCGGAGATAAGCTCTCCAAATTGTTGGGGAGGGGTGATCAGAAATTAAATGAAACTGGCAGTGAGATCATATCTTTGAGGTGAGCACTCTCCCGCCACTCACCTCCCTAGACTCCCACCATACTCTCTGATCCACATATATCTAAATGGGTCGAAGAAAGCTTCACAACACTCCTGTCTCTGTGTCCTTTGCTCATTCCAATAGTGCTTTCATTTCAGTGTTTTCATATCTTCCACTAAAATCTTCATCTTATTCTGTGTGCATCCTCCCAAAAATAGTGCAGTTATTTTAAAATTGCCTTAAAAATGAGTGTATATTGTGCTTACATGTGACAATCGAACGTGAAAATCACTAGTGATGTATACTGCCATACACCGCCCCGTGTGTACAAAAACTCTTTACCAAACCTAAGGCACAGGGTTGGGCGATATCACATCTGATATTCCTTTTATATTGCACTTTCCTGATCCCCTTATTGTCTCCCAATGTGTGAATGATATATTGGACATTTATTTATGTAAGAAAATTATTTTAATGGGGATTTCTGCACAATGAGCTTCATTTATCCTTTTATGTCCTATATATCATTCACCCATTGGGAGTCTGTGCCATAAGTAGACCGGAGGAGTAACATCTAAGAGGAGTATCAGATGTGATATCACCCAGCCCTGTGCCTTAAGGGCTGAGTTTGGTAAGGAGTTTTGTGCACATGAGGGTGGTGTATGGTGGTATGTATTGATGGATTCACAACCTTTGTACTATATGGAACACGGATTAATGTGAGCACAATTTTATATAGTGTACATTAGTTGTGGCGATACTAAAGTAGTTTAGTCATTTTCTTTGCTACTGACGAGGAGGATTCTGGGGAGGAGAACAAGGATATGGAGTGAACGGACCAGTCTTCTAAAGTGGATATTTGGTAAGAAGATAAGCAGGAGGGGTGAGAAGTCACGTATTTAATGCTGGTGATTTTCATGCTTGATTGTCACATACACATGTGAGAACAATATAGAAATTTTTATGGTTATTTTAAATTGACTGCAGTATATGAGTTTTATTTTTTTTGAGGGATGTACATGTAATGAGATGAAGATTTTTGTGAAAGATATGGAAACACTGAAGTGAAAGCACTAATGGAAGGAACAGAAGACACAGTAACAGGAGTGTTGCAAAGCTTTTTTAGACCTATTGGGGGTTGGTGTTGGGAGCACTCAGCCTGGTGGACATTTGAATTAGATCATAGCTTGGCTTCTGTACTTGTAAATGTCTGTGGTGAGGGAGGAATGTACTTCTGGACTGTAGGTTTGTGATGGTTGGGTCTATAGTGCGGGGATTGTGGAGCACATAAGTACTTTGTGCAGTGTCTGGAGCAGGTCAGAAACGGGGCTAGAGGTGGCACAGCTATGCCAGAATCTGATAACTTCTATTAAGTTTTCACTTTACAAAGATGTGGAGTCAGCAACAAAAGTGTAACACCACAAAGACTGAACTTTCACTGCATCAGCTGCAAGTCATGAGGAGTGCAGAGAGCAGCAGACTAAAGCCCTGTGTGCCCTGGTGTTGTGTTGATCCTGGTTCAGTGTTATGAATGTCTTCTTAGTTGGCTACTGCTGAAAGCCCTTCTCAGGGAGACACATCGGATGCCCTCCTTCTTCCGTTTCCTTGCCCATAAACTGGCTTCCTCCCTCTGTCCTTCCCTTGGGCCATCAGCTACTGCTCCTCTGCTCTTGCCCTGGTCAGTCTGTCATGGCCACTTTCTGCTCTTGCACTGGGCCATCAGCTTCATCCACACCAGGCCCTAGAAAATGATAACCTTCTCTGGAAACACAGTACATGAGGTTGCATTTTTAGTTTGAAGTTTGTGTTTCTGGCCACATTCCTGCAGTCAATTTACTACTGTAGGAGAAGTCTTTAAACAGTTAAATGTCCAGTTCCTGACTGAAAATAGAATTTCACACCTAAAAAAACATCATACACAAATTTAAAGGGGTAGATAAAGCTGCAATACTCATGCTCTCCCCAGTGCTATTCATCGTAGACTCACTAACCATCTTAAAGACAGCAGGAAAAAGAAATGCATGTGTGCTTTAAGGACCCACCCCATGCTAGGAACTGCTTGTGAATTGCAGAGGAATGCTATGTGGTTACTTGCAGTTCTGTGCAGTGCGATTTCAGCTCAGGCATGCGCTACTTTTGGAAATGCACTGCAACTGGATTGCATGGTCCTTTTTGTACCATGAGATCCAGTTTGGGCAAAAGCACTGCATTTACGATCTGTCTTTGGGGTGTTTGTTAACTTTGAGTTTAATCTTTACTGCAACAGAGCTGGATATGCCAGGAAAATGCAAGATACTAGGTGTTTTTTTTTGTTTCTAACCTGGATATATTCTCTACTTGCTTTGTTCACTTACAGCTTTGCAATAGCTCTCTAAATTACTGTTTAATATATGCAAAAGTATTAATGTTAAGTTGTTCTTTCAGTCACTGAAGAAGATTGGGAAGGACACCACTGTGCTTCTCATTTGTATCACAGTATTCTTCTCCTACCTTCCAGAAGCTGGACAGTATTCCAGCTTTTTCCTCTATCTCAAGCAGGTGAGTGGTTACAGTGGTTAGAATGTTCTTTCCAGAGGGCAAATACTGATCAGCTGCTCTGATGACTGCAGTGCTGGGAGTGTACTTGATTGTTGTGGTGGCCCCATTTTACAAATGTAATTTTTTTTTTCAGGTGTCTTTTGTATAAATGTTTTATATATAGCTATCAGCCTTTTTTGCTGCTGTGATCCGACTCGCTATTAGAGAGTAACTATGTTTATTCTCTGAGGTCCCACTGTATGTCAGAATGTAGTCACCCTTCCTTGCTCACTTCTGAAATGGGCCCGTGTCTATGGAATATGTACTGTGGGATTTGAAGTGTGCATAGAGCAGTGCATATGATAACTAACATTCACTTCTCATTCCAAACAAAGGGAAGTGGGGGTGAAAAGGAGAGGTTGTAGAAGGAGGTATAAAAACACAGTAAGAAACCATTTCATGAAAAATAGACTAGAAGGAAAGTAAATAGTGGATATGTATGGATTAATGTTGGAGAATAAAGATATTTTTTAATTTCATTACACTCTACTACAATCACTAGGTATGCAGGGGGAGGGGACGTATCAGCCCCCGAGGTCTACATCCTCTGTCTTTTTAATAGTCGCTGGGATGCAGATGGTCCTGGACACATGCTGCTGCTGAAACAAAGGCTACCCCTGTTGCACTGCGCTGTAACAACCAATGATGCTGTGTGACAGAGCTGCTTGTGTCCTAGCATCCAAGGAAAACTAATGGACAAGGGCTGCCTGCATCCTAGCAACCAAGGACACTAGGTGACAGAAGCCATCTACATCTTAGAAACCAAGGACTCTAGAACAGGGGAACTAGGTGGGAGCCTTCTAGTGGACATGCCCTTTTCCCCAGGTGAGCTTGCTGGCAAAGAAGTGCATGTTAACTGAGCTGTGCCTGAACTTAAGGTTAGTAATGCCCATAAATTGAACTTCTAATAGGGGAGGAGCAGAGAAGCTAGAAAGCAAGGATTAAAGAGTATTCACATTTCAATACTGTTTCATTGGGGAAGGTAATGTAGGTACAGGGTTATATAGACCTGTATTTATTTTTTTTTTTATGATGAAGAGAGTTTTTCTTAAAGGAGGACTTCTTACATCTTACCAAATTGTATCCCATAGTGTGCCGCATATTTGGGGATTTCTGTAGCCACTGCACCGACATAGATTTTTGCTGATACCGCCACTGCCCTGACACACATTTCTGCAGTAACTACCATTGCACCAACCTGCATTTCTGCAGTCACCTCCACTCCACTGACGCATATTTTCTGCACTCTGTCATTGCACTAGCTGCATTACCTTCTTCAGTTACCACCACTGCAGAGCAGAGACAGAGACACGCACAGACGCACTGCTCTGACTTACACTTGGCACCATGACCGACTACACTCACAAGCAGTACGCTGATGAGCACTCTACACTCACTAACTTCTGCACTTGCAACCAATTCACCGACGTGCCCTTGGCACCCCCTACTCTCACCAGTGTGTCTGACTTCTATTCTTCTCCCGACCTTGCCACTTCTTCTAGATGCCTCCACTTTACTGCACCGACACGTGTCTTGGTGCTTGCCACAACAGCAAGTCCTGTATTCCGCTTATTCAATGAATGAGCTCACCAGCGTTGTGTAAGAATAGTCTGTGCCTTTTCTAAAACTAGAGGTTGGTGGCATTTAAGTTAAATTTTCATCATGTCTTGAAGCAGAGCTCCACCCAAAAGGGAGTTTCCGCTTTAAGGCTTTGTCCCCCGCTCCCCTGTAAGGATTGGCACCTTTGGGAAATGGGTACCTGAATACCTGAAATTGACAGGTACCCGCTCCCACTTTCGCTACGATCGCCTAGGGCGATCAGAAGCGGAAGTTGTGAAACCACCATTTTCAAAACATTATCTTTTCCTATTATGCATTAGGTGACAGTGCTTGGATGTTGCAGCATGCAGGAATATTTATTGATCTTCACCACATCAAAGTCCAACTGCAGCTTTATCACGAGTCCCCAGTGTGTTTTACTTTGCAAATACTTTCCAATGCTTGAAACCACATGGCAAATGTGTTAATGGGTGCAGTTCCGTCCTTCCAATATTCTTTGGAGCTGCAAATTCATTCATGTTTTAATAGTAATATTGTAGCATTCTAATACACAAGCCTGCAACATTTTATTCAATCTTTTTTGGTGTAATGTGGAAGTAACACCTTTTTTAATTTTATTGCAGATCATAGGATTTAATCAGGGTAGTATTGCTGCTTTCATAGCAGTGGTGGGAATTTTGTCCATTGTGGCTCAGGTATGTACCAAGAATGCCTCCTAGTATTTAACTATGTAATATATTACATGTTATTTCATGATGAGCTCAGTTCACAAAAGCATAATGTATGCAGTAAATTTTATTACCATGGGTTGTGTTTTATAGCAATTGAAAGTGGATTTGCACTCTTTAAAAGCATCTTTGTGCCAGAGACACTGAAGGCTTAATTTTTTCCCTTAAAATTATAAACATGGTATACTTACTTGCTCAGTGCAATGGTATTGTACAGAGTGGTCCAAACCTACTCTTCTGGGGTGCCTTGCCATTTTTCTCAGCTTTGCCTCCTTCTGTGTGTGCATACACTACTTTTGGTGCAATCCAGTGCTATTTTAGCCAATTGAAATGAATTCGCTGAAAATCGCATCACGCAGGAATGTGGAATGCCTTTCTGTGCTATTCCAGTGTGAACCGGCACTTAAAGTGGTTGTAAACCCTTACATATACCATGTGAAGTGACTGCTTCAGGTAATGCACAGAGATCAAACAAATCCTCCTACATAAGTTGCACCTGTTTATATGTAGTCTTCTCTTCAGCCATTCAAAGTGCTGAATTTTAAAGCTTGTCTGAGAGTTAAGAAAAAAGGGCAGAGATCTGAAGTGAGGAGAGCTTTGAGAGCTGATTGAAGGGAAGAGACCCCCTCCCTCCCCCCCCCCCCCCACACCTCACAGGAACAAAGCTGACACTGTTAATCTGCGGAGGTTCCTGCCTTGTCACCATTTGTCTCTTGGTGTCAGGAATACTTGTCAGAAGTGACTCATGTTGATAGCAAAGTAACAAGGCAGCAGGTAGAAATGACAATTCGTGGTCTTAATTGAGACACTTACACACCATAGAGGGAAAATGCTTAGTACATATTTCATATCTGAGGTTTACAACCACTTAGAACCAAAATACTGCTGGCTTCAAGCTGGTGATAACTTTGTTCTCCAGTTATAAAGCCTTTCTGTGGCTGGGGGCGCTGCTCTCCTCTTATCAAAGTAATCTCTGCAGCAATATGCAGAGATCACTTGCTAGGACACTGCAGAGTCTACAACATGCTCTGCGTCTGTTGCAAAATGCAGGTGCAATGTGAAGTAAACTGTGATATCCGGTCTTTGATGGTAATAAAAGTGATCCCAAGGATATAAGTTTTTCAGTAGTTAAAAGTGGACCTTCACCCTCCCCACCAGCTTAACATTACTGCACTCTCTCTCCCACCTTCCTCATAATTGGACCTTTATTTTTTTTTCACCTAATAACATTTTTTAGGTGTATCCCTCTGGGCTTCTGGGATTCTTGTGGAGAGGAGATTGACGTCCCTCTTGCCTGCGACTTGTGTAAATTAAACACCATTGGGATAAAAAAATATCACAAGATAAATAATCGGTGTTAAAATAACTATTTCATTGTAGGCGATAGTTAAGTGATGAAAGGTTTATATTGTCTTTTCAGTAACCTAACTTTGATATGCAGTGGTATCAGTATTGCTTGAAGTCTCCTAATCCTTATATGGCTGAATTCAGTGTAGAGTAATTCTATAGTATATATATTTTTTAAAACAGCCTTTCTCAATCTTTGAACCCCAAAGGAATCTTAAAAAAATTTTTCAAGACTCGAGAAACTCCTGCTAAATTAACTGAGGGTCCTTAGGAAAATGCCCCTTACTTTGATGGACAGTGGGAAGAATGCCCCCTGTAAAATTGGCTAAAAAGATAATTGGTGTCATTTCACTGGCACTGCGAAGTGGCATTAGACTCAGAACTATGCTGGCATCATCAGATGAGAGGTCAATCATCTACAGCTCAAGGACCAGTAGCAACCTCTGGAGGAATACTAGAGTTCCACAGAACCCTGGTTGAGAATGGCTGTTTTAAAAAAAAATGTTTACACCTGTCAACTTATTGATGAATCTGATCTGTTCTTTCAGCATCAGGTTTCATTCATCTGCATCATATGTACAGTATATTTCTTTATAACAGTAGATGTCTGTATTACATATTTTCTAGACTGTATTTCTCAGTATACTGATGAGATCAATAGGAAACAAAAATACTGTTCTACTTGGTCTGGGCTTTCAAATGTTCCAGCTGGCTTGGTATGGCTTTGGCTCACAGCCCTGGTAAGTAATGACAGTTTGTGTCTTTAGAGATCTTAAAATTACTAATAATTGCTTTATAGGCTATCAATAAACATTTTTTTTCTTTTTAAAGATTTGTGTGCAGCTATATAGTTTAAGGGGCCCATGCACATGGGTACACTGTAAATGTACGATGTATACATATCTATTTAAAAGAAAAAAAAATTACACACACTAACTATATATATATATATATATATATATATATCTATCTCTGTATCCATGGTCAATAATTTACAAGTGTATGCACATACATGACTGATAATTTTTACAAATGCACACTACTGGCACATCCTAGCGATAGGAGAATGCTAGGCGGCTTCCTTGCAAAGCTGCCTGCATCCTAGCAATGGAGGGATGCTAGGTAGCTTTATTGAGAAGCCCTTTTGTTCCAGCAACAGAAGAATGCTAGTCAGCCTCCTTGAGAGAAGCCCCTACTTCCCAGCAACCAAAGCTGCCTGCATCCTAACAGTGGAGGGATGCTAGGTAGCTTTATTGAAAAGCCCTTTTGTTCCAGCAACAGAAGAATGCTAGTCAGCATTGAGAGAAGCCCCTACTTCCCAGCAACCAAAGCTGCCTGCATCCTAACAGTGGAGGGATGCTAGGTAGCTTTATTGAAAAGCCCTTTTGTTCCAGCAACAGAAGAATGCTAGTCAGCCTCCTTGAGAGAAGCCCCTACTTCCCAGCAACCAAAGCTGCCTGCATCCTAACAGTGGAGGGATGCTAAGTAGCTTTATTGAAAACCCTTTTGTTCCAGCAACAGAAGAATGCTAGTCAGCCTCCTTGAGAGAAGCCCCTACTTCCTAGCAACAGAAGAATGCTAGTCGGCCTCCTTGAGAGAAGCCCCTGCTTCCTAGCAACCAAAGGACACTAGGTGCTTTCTTTGAGAAGCTGCCTACATCTTAGTAACAGAAAGATACTAAGCAGCTTCAATGTGAAACCACTTGCATCCAAGCAACGAAAGGGCGCTAGATGATTTTGAGATGCCTCTTGCTTCCTTGCAAACAAATGATCTGAACACATCTGTATAGTTTTCCAAGGGTCTTTGCACACAGCTGTGTAAAGATCATTAATCTTATGCCGCATACATATCTAGAAAAAAAAAACCGCTAAACCTGCATCCATAGTCAGTAATTTAAAATTATATAAACATTTGTGATTACATTTAGGGCTCATTCCCACTCAGATTTCGGGTCCATGCACCCTTCCCTGCATCCTTGTCCATTCATTTATATGGGCTACCTGCACTCAGCTCAGTGCTAGGACAGAAAAATAAACAAATAGCTATTCATGCTTTCTGGGGCTGAGCACCCTTGTTACTGAACCCTCACATGCATAGAGTACTCTGGAAGCCAACTGTGTTCCATCAAGAAAAGGCTAGGTGGTTTTGTTGAGAAGCAGTCTGTGCCCCAGCAATGGAAGGATGTAGGTAGCTTCTTTTATAAGCTGCCTGCATCTCAACAAAGGAAGGACACTAGGGGGTTAATTTTCTAAAAATGATTTACTATTATACGATTTTACTAAAAAAACTGATTTTGCACTTCTCCGTTTTAGTTGATCAACCCCTGGGTGTTTTTCTTGAGAAGCCACCTATGTCCTAGTAACCGAAAGGCAGTAGTAGGCTTCGATGTGACACCATGTGTTTCCAAGCAACAAGAGGGACACATGGTGGCTTGATTGGGAAGCTGCCTGCATTTTGGCAACCAAAGGACATTAGGCAGTTTCATTGAGAAGCTGTTTGTATCCTAGCAACTGAAGGATGCTAGCCTGCTTCATTGAGAAGTTTTCTGCATACTAGCAACTGAAAGATGCCAGATGGCTTCTTTGGATAGCCATCTGTCTTGTAGAAGTAGGGCCAAGCTTGTTGTACGCATGTAAATGCTGCTCAGACGTTACATGCGTACAGATCACTTTTTATGCATGATCTTGCTGCCAACTTTTGACCTCAAGATCTTGCATACTAGTTGCTGTATTTTCATATGGTTGTATGCATGAGCCCCAGGTACAATAACAGGTGGTAATTTATTTAAAAATGTGTTTGTCTTTGATAATGTAACCCTGTAGCAGCTCATCCAAAAGCTTGTTTGACAAGGATATGTTTGCAAAAATGTATCCTTGTATTTCCAACCGTTGTTTAGAAGCGTGTTTTCTAGATGGCGTGGCATTACTTATGATCAAAAAGAAGCTGATAGTGAATTTGTGACAAGTAATTGCATGGTTCTTCTGTTCTCTCTCTGATCCTCCTGTAATTGGGTTTACATTTTGAACGCCATTGCCTTTCAAGCACTGATTTTTCTGTATATTTGTATAGCTACCTCTCTCAATGCAAGGACCTAATATTGGAACAAAGCTTCAATGAATGTGATGGGTTATTGCTTTATGAACTTTATTAATGTATTATATGTTCCATGTACATAGCTTTAGAGCTGATATACTCGTCGGTACAAGGTCATCTATTCACTTGCCAGTTTTGTTTGCTTATTTTCAGGATGATGTGGGCAGCTGGCGCTGTAGCTGCAATGTCTAGTATCACATTCCCTGCAGTAAGTGCTCTAATTTCCCGGAACACTGAATCAGATCAGCAAGGTATGTTTCATCGTCGGCCACAGTGTCTGTTACATAAATTGTGAGGATAATACAACTGTCTTCATTTTTAGTTAAAAGCACATTCATGTAAATGGTATATTGATGATTCATATTTCTGACAGATCTGAGTCACCAAATGTTCTTCTTTACTATTATACACTATATTACCAAAGGTATTGGGACACCCATCCAAATCATTGGATTCAGGTGTTCCAATCACCTCCATGGCCACAGGTGTATAAAATCAAGCACCTAGGCATGCAGACTGCTTCTACAAACATTTGTGAAAGAATGGGTCGTTCTCAGGAGCTCAGTGAATTCAAGCGTGGTACTGTGATAGGTTACCACCTGTGCAATAAGTCCATTCGTGAAATTTCCTTGCTACTAAATATTCCACAGTCAACTGTTAGTGGTATTATAACAAAGTGGAAGCAACTGGGAACAACAGCAACTCAGCCACGAAGTGGTAAGCCACGTAAAATGACAGAGCGGGGTCAGCGCATGCTGAAAAGCACAGTGTGCAGAAGTTGCCAACTGTGCGCAGAGTCAATAGCTAAAGACCTCCAAACTTTGTGTGGCCTTCAGATTAGCACAACAACAGTGTGTATAGAGCTTCATGGAATTGGTTTCCATGGCCAAGCAGCTGCATCCAAGCCTTACATCACCAAGTGCAATGCAAGGTTGGATGCAGTGGTGTAAAGCACGCTGCCACTGGACTCTAGAGCAGTGGAGACGTGTTCTCTGGAGTGACGAATCATGCTTCTCTGCCTGGCAATCCAATGGACATGTCTGGGTTTGGCAGTTGCAAGGAAAAAAGGTACTTGCCTGACTGCTTTGATCTAAGTGTAAAGTTTGATGGAGGGGGGATTATGGTGTATGGTTGTTTTACAGGGGTTGGGCTTGGCCCCTTAGTTCCGGTGAAGGAAACTCTTAAGGCATCAGCATAGTAAGACATTTTGGACAATTTCATGCTCCCAACTTTGTGGGAACAGTTTGGGGATGGCCCCTTCCTGTTTCAACATGACTGTGCACCAGTGCACAAAGCAAGGTTCATAAAGACATGGATGAGCGAGTTTGGGGTGGAGGAATTTGACTGGCCTGCACAGAGTCCTGACCTCCACCTGATAGAACACCTTTGGGATGAAATAGAGCAGAGATTGCGAGCCAGGCCTACACATCCCAAATCAGTGCCTGACCTCACAAATGCGCTTCTGGAAGAATGGTCAAACATTCCCATAGACACACTCCTAAACCTTGTGGACAGCCTTCCCAGAAGAGCTGAAGCAGTTATAGCTGCAAAGGGTGGGCCAACTCCATATTGAACCCCACGGATTAAGATTGGGATGCTATTAAAGTTCATGTGCGTGTAAAGGCAGGTGTCCCAATACTTTTGGCAATTTGGTGTATATAATGTGACATCACAAAAATTTTTTTGGATCAATGTAACACAATTACACTCTTCAGATGTTATATAAATACAGTAAAAACTATGGTAGTAGCATAGTATAGTAGCAGCAACTGTTAAAAAAAATGATTAGTATTTTCCAAGCCACAGGGAGTTAATAGCCAACTTCTGCTTTCTTTTAAGACATGCAGTAGAAATTCATCAAGAACTGCGTTTAAACTCCAGTCTAGTGCAAAAAGCTGAATCAGTACTTCACAGAAACAGCTAAATGCATATATATGAACTGTCTTGGCTGGCATAAGATTTGTAGTTCTGTTTGTTCAGTTTTTCAGGTATCCTTAGCAGACCATTCAGCTAGTTCACTAACATTACTTTTCTTTATTGAAGTTAAGCACTTTTACTTGGGCACTGGACTGTCCTCAGCCTACTGATTGAATAAAGAAAAAGTATATAAACAATGATGGGATAATTGCTCTGCTCATTTCCTTTTGTCTTCCTGTCAGCAAGATCCCAGTGTTATATTGACAGCACTGTTCTAAACGGTTGAGCTGTAGCCCAGGACTATGCCTCCCCCTCCCCCCCAGTCTGTGGCCTGCTGTTCAGGATACTGCATAAAGCTAATATATAACCAGATTTCAGTACTTAATGAAATGTATTAACCACTTGCCTACTGGGCACTTATACCTCCTTCCAGCCCAGGCCAATATTCAGCTTTCAGTGTCGCACTTTGAATGACAATTACGTAGTCATGCGATATTGTACCCATATGAAATTTTTATAATTTTTTTTTCTCACAAATAGAGCTGTCTTTTGGTGGTATTTAACTTGCCGCTGGAGGTTTTTATTTTTTGCACTAAAAAGCAAAAAAAAAAAAAAAAAAAGTTCTATTTATAAAATTTTGCAAACAGGTAATTTTTCTCCTTCACTGATGTGCGTTGATTAGGCAGCACTGATGGGCGGCACTGATCATCAGTGCCCTGATGATCAGTTCCGATCTGTTCTTTGACAATTGCCGGTTATCGGCAGTACTTTCCTCACGCTATGACAGCGTGAGGAAAGTGCAGCCAATAACTGGCAACTGTATTTACCCGGTGATCTGCTGTGTCATTGGATACAGCTCATCACGTGTTAAAAGGCCGCAGTTTTTGGCCTTTTACCACATGACATGATCAGCGATAGGATACAGCGATCACTGAGATCATCGGGTGCGCGCCGCTGGGGCCCCGTGGGAGGGCATCATATGACGCCCTCCCAGAACTGGACAACCGCGTTGTAGCCGTCATTTGGCTATAGCACGGTTGCCAAGTGGTTAAATGGCTTTTTGATAAATGTAAAACTGGTAGTGTTTTTACCTGGATTTAGCAGTTTCTAAAGAATTGGTATTTTGCTGCTTCTCTGTGTTTGTGTTTCTCACTGTGGTCACATTTAGTATGCCAGGTAAATTAAACATACACATTAACTTTAAAGCCTCGATGTTCATATTATTCATATTTTATGATCTAGCATAAAGTTTTCTTTCTCATCCATTGGGGGACACAGGAAGTCTTTCACCTACAGTTTATACTGCTCCCTAAAGGGGGTTTGGACACTGGCAAGCAAAAAACTGTAAGCCAGCCCAGGATGACCCCTTCTACTACTAGCATGCCTCAGTGGCTCAGGAGGAGGATTCCCAGCTTATCTTTTGCATGGATCTTCTGTGAATACACACGTTTAGGTCACTGTGGTTAAAGTGTTGGACTGCCAAACCCGTGTCCAAGAAGCATCTGATCTGCATGACCGTCTAAGGAAATCATCTGTTTTAGATTTACTTTTGATACAATTAAGGATGCTACAGGCTGCAAGAACATTTATCTTTCTGATTGAAAAAAGGACAGACTTCAGTGTCTATTAATAGCTGTTAAAAAATTGTCCCTTTCTTTTTCTCCACCCTGGTACAGCTTGCATTATAGATGCTTGGGTGTATCCCAATGCTACAAACTGGACTTTTGCTCCTTGTCACATACCCGGATTCTCACTTTCAAAATGTCTTTGTCACCAAACAGATTAACAGATCTCCAGCAAGCCCTCTTGGGTCTTCTGTAACATGTTATCATTCGCCTAGTTTCTGTGGCAGAAGAAACTATTCAAGGATTTTTCTCCCAAACAATTACACCATTCATTAAAGGATCACTTTTCACCCATCATTCGGGTGTAACGTGCTCCAGACCTGCCCCCAGCGTTCTCAATACCCCCCTCCCTCCCTGTGACAACGGATGAGGGATCTTCTAGCACTTGTCTGTCTCATTTTGAAAGTAGCACGGCTGTGCGGGGCTCCACTCACACAGCCTCATCATTCATTTGCAGCAGTCTGTGAATAATAGAACTACGGGTACTGTCAGTCATTGCATCTAACAGCTTGCAGTTTTCAATGAAGTGCAAGGGCACTGATGAACGCACTCATAGGCCATTCACAAGCCCTGCAGCCTTGTAAACAGTCAACCGGTATCAGAGGTACAGGCTGAAAGCTGCAGGGCTTGTTTTTTTTCATGCAAAAACGTGCTTTTATTTGTTCCCAAAAGGTGAAATTAGCCTTTAAATGGTGGGGGGGGGGTGGGTTAATTCTCACAGCTTTAATTTAGCTCAGAAATTCTTCATGGAATCTACAAGGTATGCCATCGTTGACCTCCTCTTGAGGGAACTGCTGGCACGGGTTCTATCGGACAAGATGTCTTTGACACCCCACACCTGCCTAGGGACGCCCTTGATCTGAACTAGTGATTTGCACTATCAAGGACAGGTTTTAGCCTTTCCATGTTACTTCAGAGACCATTGGCCTCTCTTGCCCCTTGATCTTTGTAGAGTGAATTTCCTATGTAGCTTCCTCTGTTAGGTCTCCTGTGACTATGCTGGTTCTAAATGTCTGCTGATGTCAGGTTTGGGCATAGGATCCTTCGGGTGGCTCTTTGGGAAGCTGACAGCATCCCTCTGTGTTTATTATCATGCTTGTCTGTACTGCTTTGCTACAAAACTGAGGCATACTGGTAGTGAAAGGGCATTTTCCGAACTGACCTACAATTCTCCTGTAGGAGGCAGTATAACTCAAAAATGAAAGACTTCCTGTGTCCTTCAAAGGATTCCAAGAAAATAATTTTACAAGGAGTACAACAATCCTATTTTTCTGCCACTGTAGGTGTTGCACAAGGTATGGTGACTGGCATTCGAGGTTTATGCAATGGTCTGGGCCCAGCACTGTATGGCTTTGTTTTCTTTCTCTTCCACGTTGAGCTTGGAGGATTAGTGCCAGTACCTAGCTCTGATGACAAGACCACCAGGAAGGATCCCAGTGAGGAAGTAAGTACATGCATCTCTCCACATGCAATAATTCTGTGAGGTATACATGTTAGTTGCAGTGTGTTTGTGGAGCCAGAAGACAGCTGCACTCTTTCAGTGTTTTAATCACTCATGATCAGGCCACGTTATAGCTACCCACACCTATGGCCATGTTGTACATGGCTTGTTTAATGTCATATAGAGATAGTGAATGTTTTTAGGTCTTTGTCTATGTACACAGTTATAGAACCACTCTGTTTTGATCTGTGTAGTCAAGATGTTTAGCTAATGTAACAAAATGCTAGATCAGTTGTGTACCATAAATTGCCTAATGATCACAAATAATGCTCCTGATTCCAGCATATTTTTTGTCACAGGTTGTCTTTTTAGGTGTAGTGTTTGTTTTTTTACTTTGTAAGAAAATCTCCTTGCAAAAAAGATATGTCCCCTTTACTTCTCTATGGAGAATGGGGAACAATAAAGATACCGCATCCTCCAAGTATTGCTGTGGTTTTGCATAGTCCAGTGGTTCATCTGTGTGCAAAAGAGAAATGACATAATCCACTATAATTAGCACAATAGCTGTGGTATAAACCATTATGGCAAGTGGCACAACTACTGTGTATTTTATACAACCCCAGTATAACAAAAATGTGGGATGCTGTGTAAAATTACATAAAAACAGAATGCATTGAGTTGCAAATCTCATAAACCCATATTTTATTCACAATAGAAAACATATCAAATGTTTAAACTTAGAAAAAAATTTTTTTTTTTTTGCACATCTGGAAAGGCAAGATCAATGCTGAAAGATATATCTTAGGTTTTACAGCAAAATATGCTGCCATCCAGACAACATCTTTTTCAGGGAAGTCCTTGCATATTTCAGCAGAACAATGCTGAACTGCATGCTACATCTATTACAACAGCATGGCTTCATAGTAGAAGAGTCCGGGTACTTAACTGGCCTGCCTGCAATCCAGACCTTTTGCCAATTGGAAATATTTGGCACATCTTGAAAAGAAAATTCTATAAAATCCTATATTGCGTAATAGTGGGGCAATATTCCTCGCCCAGAACTCCAGCAACTGGTCTCCTCAATTCCCAGGCATTTACAGAGTAATTAAAATGAGGAGCTGCTACACTGCGGTAAACATGGCCCTGTCCCAATTTTTTTTGAGACATGTTGCTGCCATCAATTTTAAAATTACCTTAATTCCTTAAAATGGTCAGTTTTCTCAGTTTAAACAATTGATATTTTTTCTTTTGTGAGTAAAATATGGGTTTATGAGACTTGCAAACCATTGCATTCTGTTTATATGTAGATTTTACACAGCGTTCCAACTTTTTTTTGAATTGGGATTGTAGATTGTAGTTGAAAGCTAAATTTTAATAAGCAATAATCAGAGACAATTGATCTGTGCATTTTCTTTTGCTACCCTCCTTCAGGCACATACAGTATTTCCACAACATTATTCTCTGAAAAATGTCTGCTTGTCTTTGGGCATAATCATGTGCATGCATGCACAGCATTAAGAACCTATAACTCAACAGCCAGCTTGGTTAGATCTATATTATGACCTCTACAAAAGAGAACCTGTTTAGTTCAACTTCATATCCACATTTACTATTGCTTGTGTGGTTTAGCAGAGATTATCCAATACTTTTGAGAATTCAGCCTGCGTATTGACCAAATCAATCTATTATTGAATCCAACAAGCAATATCTGAGACACCTAATGCACCAAATTATTTTATTAGAGTACTTAACAGCATGATAAAATGTGTTTCAAGGCAAAGTCCTACATTAGATGTACTGCACCAAAATGCATCCCATGGTTTCTGCATCTCTTTCAGTTATTTTGAGTTGGTAAAAACACTTACTGAACTCGGTGACTTGGTCACTTCTGTTGAAACATGTTAGTGTTTCATGCATGGTGAAATTATCATACAGCTTTTTCTAATGTTATGATTGGCTGCAGTTGTATACTTCCAAGTGTGATTGGAGATGCAGCCACTTGGGCTAAGCTTTTGTACATATGCACTTCAGTTCACTTGCTTTTCCCTAGACTGGACTGACCACCTACAGAATTCTGCATGCATTTGTTGTAACACAACATTTCTCCGGTCCTGATTAGTTTGTTTTCATTCACAGGGAGCAGTCATCCCAGGACCACCATTTTTATTTGGAGCAGTTGCTGTTCTCCTTGCTTTCATGGTGGCTTTATTTATACCTGAACACAACAGTCACTCCACCAAAAATAATGCTGGTGGAAAGCACAGCATTAGTAGCAACCCACAGACAAATAACCCAGACCGCAGCAGTGACGAGGATATAGAACCACTGTTACAAGACACCAGCGTGTGACTGTTTTCCGAGTTCTCCATTGACGACTACTCAAGGAGGAAAATAAGCGAATGTACCAAACTCTGCTGAAGATGATGAATAGAAAAAGAAAAACATTTCTACATTGGACCTCCATGCAGACACTAGAAAGTCTGTAACTGTTTTATTTTGTTATTTCTTGTCTAAAATATTGGTTGATATTACCTATTCACTGCATGGGAGGTTGCATGTGTAGCAGAAATCTCCAGCAGTAAAGCAGCTAAAGGTTTGAGATTGTGATTTTTGTTTATGCTACCTCAAACCTTGTCATTGCATTTTATATTGACTGTTGGGAAAAAGTAGATATTGCGGTGACAAAGCATTGACCTCTGAAAGATACCATATGCAATGAGAGCTGGTGTTGTGATACACCTTTACAGTGCCTGCTAGTACATTTCCATTCTTTTCTTTGTTGGAGAAAGGTGGGAGAAGACTTGGTTTTGCCTTTCTTGCTGCATATTCTGAGTAGCCTTGTCTTCTGGACTGCAGTTATCAATAATCTGTTTACAGAGACACTAGTCTTATGACGAATACTTTGCTGCAGGAATTCCCAAACCACCACTCTCTTAACCAGCAAATCATCAGACATATCTCGATAGTTCTTGGTAGGTCAGAACAATCAAACTGCAGCTGCTGTATTTGCCCAGTAGCTAAACCTGTATGTTAAAGCCTACTTCAGCTTTTCAGAACTTGATATTGTAAGGCAGGGAAAGTGACTTCATCAGCTTTGTAAATAGTATTTATTACTTTTTGTTACATTATATTTGTACACATTTTGTCATTTGAGTCCTTGGGGAATATTCCAAAATGTCTTGGTGTGATGGAAGTGTAGATACAGCTGCTTTTACAGAATGCCTTCCTGATAGGTCATACAAATTATATATAGAGTATGTTTCGCACACCATACAGCAAGCAGATTTTCAATTATTCCCTTTAGTCTAAGTAGATAGATCAAGACACCCTGTAAGAATAGATAGGTAGTATATTTAATTTACAAGGTTTATTATTCATTGCACTGCCTTTGAATATCAAATTTGTCAGAATAACAAGTCAAGCTTTAACTATGTTTTCTTTATTCTTTAGTATGTTGTCTTTTTTTAGCCATGTTTAGTATGTTTCTATGTTCTCAGTCTTATCAAGTGTTTATTTACACAAAAAAATATTTGCATATATCTAAAAATGTCACAAAAATTCTAGCAGCAGTAAAACCTTGTAGTGTAATATCAAATGATAAGATGACAAAAGTGTGTTTACTTTAACAAGTGTTAAGGTGCTTTCTTGCATTTTTCTAGCCGCTAAAATAAAAAAATAAAGAAAAATTATATGTGATTGGCTGGCTCATATGGGCAGCACCTCCAGTTTTTATACATCTTACCCCACTGTGCTGTGACTTACATTACACACAAAATAGATCAGACATCACTGACTTCTCTATATACATGCATTTGCCCATTGAATTAATTGACATTGCATTATTCAAATTTTTTTTTTTTTTTAAACAAACGTTAAGACGTAATGTTAGTATTTGCAGTGGTACATTTAATGAAGAAGCTGAAAACTACTCTTTATAAGTTAAACTTGGTACATAAGAATTAGTAATCTATTCATTTACAGAAAACAAGATAAATGTAAGTTTTCTCATGCTTTCTACAAACTAGTTAATTCCCTAAAAATGTAAACAGTTTTAATAGTACCAATATTTAAATGGTATCGGAGGAGGTAAGAGAAAGCTATATATTTTTATATTTGCTTAAGGAGACTGTTTCTTGAGGGAGATTGACTTTATTTTAGAGAATCCATTGTAAAGAGTTTGTAGAGAATCCAGTGTAAAGAGTTTGTAGAGAATCCAGTGTAAAGAGTTTGTAGAGAATCCAGTGTAAAGAGTTTGTAGAGAATCCAGTGTAAAGAGTTTGTAGAGAATCCAGTGTAAAGAGTTTGTAGAGAATCCAGTGTAAAGAGTTTGTAGAGAATTCCGTGTAAAGAATTTGTAGAAAATCCAGTGTAAAGAGTTTGTAGAAAATCCAGTGTAAAGAGTTTGTAGAAAATCCAGTGTAAAGAGTTTGTAATCGAAACATCCAAATTTCTTTGTTTACATAGAAAAACAGGCAGAAAAGGCCTGATTCAAGTCTTTCTTGCACTGCAATCTAAAGGGGGGATGTCTGTGAGGGCACAGGGTTTAGTCCTAAAACAAAAAGTGCACAGGATCAGCTTAGACTGTTGGTCCTGTGTGCTGTCATCAGGTTCAAAATAAATTCTTTGTAGTGCTCTATTTTAGCCCATGAGATACTATTTACAGTTCAAGATGTTGGTTTCTGTGGAATATTTTTAGTTTAGTGCACAATTTGAGTTGTATCACCATCAATATTTTTGATATGACTTTTCATTTTTACATACTTGTTGTGCCATATTTTCATATGTATTTGGTATTTCTTTAGCAAATTTGCAATTCTCCCTAGCAGGAAAAAGCTTGATGTCTGCATCCCAGCTGAACTCCTGCTGTATTAAAATTAAAAGGAGAAGACACATGAAGAATGTATTGTTTTCAGTCAGTTTAAGCAGAATTCTAGTCTAGGATAAGAGGAACAGCAGATCACAATAATTGTGCAGCAGTATAGAGTCCCAGCCCAAAGCATTGCTGCCCCTTCACAGTAAAACAGTTTAAACTGACACGCGCACACACACACACACACACATATATATATATATATATATATATATATATATATATATATATATATGATACATGCCATGCTTAGAGGCATAGACCAGACACTTTTCTTTTGCGTTATGAATATTATTGTACATAATAAGATATGGATAAAATGTGTTGGTTCCCCAGCATAATATTTTGTCAGTTTGTCGCACTCTTCTTCGCCAAACTGCTCCACTTGTCTTCGGTTTAATGCTAAGCTTCTCCCAACAGCAAATGTTAGCTCTTTCCAAAAATATGCTCCTGGATTCTGATCAAGACTCAAAGGGCCAATTTAGTATGTTTTGGTCATCATCCTGGAGGATTGAGACAGGTCTTTAATACTGGACATTATACTCTAGAACTTCTTAATAACATTTTGATTACACGGATTCAACCTCGGTTCACATATATGCGAATTCAGATTTATTTTGAACACTTTTCTGCGGAGCCTGTTCACATACATGTGGGCCAGCCGCAGTGTGATTTTAAAAAGGGTCCTGTCCGATTTCAGTGTGGTAGGGGTGTGATTTCCAATCTGACACACTTTTAAGAATTTGCATCGGAATCACACCTGCACCGTAGGAAACGAAATATGGGAACCAAGGGTAAAGGAATCTGGTGTCGGAGGCAACAAAGAAACTCCATTATTTTTTTTTTCTATCCAAAACATTCTACCAGGAGAACTGTAACTTGATATTTATTTTAGCAATTCCAATCTGGCTTTGTGTATCTGTCTTACAGAAGTGGGGTTTGCTATCATGAGGTCATTTCACTCAGACAGCAATGGATAGTATGGTCTTGCCAAGTCCTGTGGAGAGAGAGAGAGAAAGTGTGTGTGTGTGTGTATACCATTTAGTAATGAATTAATAATTTGGGGTTGAAGATCTCTCCTCCATTTTAGCACTTTAAAATTACATCCACAATCATGAATCATTCGAATGCTTGCTCTATTTTCATTTGAATGTATGTTGTAAGGCTTTGGACTTATGAAAGTACAGTCCACACCAGCTTTGGATGAAGGTGATGTGTCGCCAAACATCATTGTTTGCTACTTAGCTTTTTGGGTAACAGATGTTGATTTCTAAGGGCTTGGGGTCTTATTTTGACCTCTTGCCTTAGTGGTAAGCATAGCTTTCAGTTTTAGGAGAGTTGCTGTAGGCAATCTCAGCTCTAAATCCAAAATGGAAAATGTGTGGCAGTAGTTTGAAGCCAAGTGCAATAGCCATGTAGAAAAGGACAAGGGCTGTTTTGTTGGTTGGTAATGATGTTGATTTACCAGATTCCAGCTAACTTTTTATTTTGAATGTTTGGTGAAATTAATTTTTGCTGGCAGAATTTTCACTAAGCAAAAGAGTTGCATGTGGCAGAGTAAGGGTTTATGTACATGAGCAAAAGCAGTGTTCATCCAAGTGTATACAAGATGCTTGAAAAGCTTCCGAGTTTCTTCTAAGCTGTTTCAAGCTGTTTTATTTCTCTTCATTAACTTATATGGAAAGAAACAGTTCTGACACAAAAAACACTTATGTACACAAGCCCTTGGCTTTAAAAACAAGGCAGCAGCTCAATACTAGATAATGTATGAGATTTAAACCTACATCTTCAAACTTACATATTAAAATATATAAATATATTTTTCCTACATACTGGGGCCAGTAAATATAAATTTGAAGTTGGATAGATGCATATATATATATATATATATATATATATATATATATATATATATATATATATATATATAGAGCGGTCAATAAGATTAGTAGATAAATATGTTTTAGCAGCTTTATCAGAAATTACGACACTTAAATGGAAATGGCAGACATTTAGTTACATCAGAGGAGGGCTAGAACCTCTGTTGAGGTTTTTATTGCTGCGTGTTTCCCTTTAGGGTAGTTTTCCCCCCTCCCATGTTGTTGTATCATTCAGAGAAAACGTTGGGGCAGATCTTTCCCCACCGGTCACACAGACAGCAATAAATACTTTTTTTTTTTTTTTTTCTTCTTAATTAATCTTTATTGTTTACCAAAAATTGAACTACAAAAAAGTAGTATGAACATGCAATATAAATCATTAGACTCACAGAAAAGTTGACCAGATTGCGATATATCGGTTTCTGTGCAAGTATGGGTTACTTCTACATTGATGTGTGAATGTCATCACTATACCTTGTGTTTATGGTTTAAGGCATATAATGCTAGATTCTATGACTGCTCATGCTTTATTTTTAATTTTAATTGCACTTTACCTGTTAGTGGTAAGGTCCTATATTAATCACACAATGACAACATTC